CAGGTGCTCAGCAGTTTCAGAGAGTAGAGTTGCTGGGCACTAGAGGGCCCCACCTAAACAAAGTTATTATTCCATAGCAATCACTAAAAAAATGAATAGGCAAAAAAAAATTTGTACAAACAAAAATACAGGACACCAGAAAGAGGGCTAAGTGAACCTGAAAGCATTAATCTTCTTGATAAAGATTTCAAAATAAAAATTATAAATATGCTCATGGAGCTACAGAAAAATATTCAAGATCTCATGGAGGACTTCATAAAAGAAAGAAACTTTGAAAAATACAGTATCTGAAATGAAACATACAATGGATGAATTTAAAAGTAGAATAGAGAAGGTAGAGGAGATGGTAAATGAAATAGAAATTAGAGAACAGGAATACAAAGAAGCTGAGGCACAGAGAGAAAAAATGGATCTCTAGGTAAGAAAGAACAATAAGAAAACTGTGCAATCAATCCAAAAGGAACAATATTCGCACTGTAGGGGTACCAGAAGAAGAAGAGAGAGAAAAAGGGATAGAAAATCTCTTTGAGGAAATAATTGTTGGAAAATTCCCCAGTCTTGGGAAGGAAATAGTCTCTCAAGTCATGGAAGTGTAGAGATCTCCCAACCAAAGGGACCCTATGAAGACAAAACCAAGACATATAATAATTAAAATGGCAAAGACCAAGGACAAGGAAAGAGTATTGAAAACAGCCAGAGAGAGAAAACAATCATTTAAAAAGAAAGACCATCAGGCTATCAGCAGACTTCTCAGAAGAAACCTTACAGGTCACAAGGGAGTTGTATGATATATTTAATGCAATGAAACAAAAGGGCCTCGAACCAAGAATAGTCTACCCAAATTTAAATATCATTTAAATTTGAAGCAGGGATTAAACAATTTCCAAATAAGCAAAAGTTGAGGGCATTTACCACCCACAAACCATCTCTATAGTGTATCTTAAGGGGACTGTTATAGATGCAAGTGCTCCTAAGGCTAAATAGCTGTCACCAGAGAAAATAAAACCATTGTAAAGGATGTATACCAATTAATTACTAAGCAAATGCAAAATTAAATCAACTAACCACAAAGTCAGTCAAGGGATACATGAAGAGTACAGAGTATGACACCTAACATACAAAGAGTGGGGGTGGAAGAAAAAGAAGGGAGGAAAAAAAAAGAACCTTTAGATTGTGTTTGAAATAGCATAAAAAACAGTTAAGACAGACTATTAGATAGTAAGGAGGCTGCCCTTGAACCTTTGGTAACCACAAATCTAAAGCCTACAAAGGAAATAAGTACATATCTATTGATAATCACCCTAAATGTAAATGGACTGAAAGCACCAATCAAAAGATATAAAGTTACAGAATGAATAAAGAAACAAGACCCAACTATATGCTGCCTATAAGAGATTCACTTCAAGCCCAAAGACATATAGAGACAAAAAGTGAAGGAATGGAAAAAGATATTTCATGCAACTAATAAGGAGAAAAAAGCAGGAGTTGTAGTACTGATATCAGACAAAATAGATTTCAAAACAAAGAATGTAACTAGAGACAAAGAAGGACACTACATAATGATAAAGGGGTCAATCCAACAAGAGGATATAACCATTATAAATATCTATGTGCCCAATACAAGAGCACCTAAATATGTGAAACAAATACTAATAGAATTAAAGGGGGAAATAGAATGTAATGCATTCATTTTAGGAGACTTCAACACACCACTCACACCAAAAGATAGATCAAGCAGACAGAAAATGAGTAAGGAGACAGAGACACTGAACATCACATCAGTACAGATGGACCTAACAGACACCTACAGAACTCTACACCCAAAAGCAGCAGGATACACATTCCTCATAAGTGTACATGGAAACTTTTTGCAGAATAGATCACATAATAGGCCACAAAAACAGCCTCAGTAAATATTGAAATTGTGCTAACAAGCTTCTCAGACCACATAGGTACAAAACTAGAAATAAATTATGCAAAGAAAACAAAAAGGCCCACAAACACATGGAGGCTTAACAACATGCTCCTAAATAATCAATGGATCAATGACCAAATAAAAACTTTCTAGAAAAATACAACCTCCCAAGACTGACCCAGGAAGAAACAGAAAATCTGAACAGACCTATTACCAGCAATGAAATTGAATTAGTAATCAAAAAACTACCTAAGAACAAAACTCCTGTACCAGATGGCTTCACCACTGAATTTTACCACACATTTAGAGATCTAATATTCATCCTCCTCAATGTTTTCCAAAAAAGTAGAAGAGGAGGAAATACTTCCAAACTCATTCTATGGAGTCAGCATCACTCTAATACCCAAACCAGGGAAAGACACCACAAAAAAAGAAAATCACAGACTAATAGCTCTGATGAACATAGATGCAAAAATACTCAACAAAATATTAGCAAACCAAATTCAAAAATGTGTCAAAAAGATCATCCATCATGACCAAGTGGGATTTATTCCAGGGATGCAGGGATGGTACAATATTTGAAAATCAATCAACATCATATACAGCACATCAACAAAAAGAAGGACAAAAACCACATGATCATCTCAATAGATGTGGAAGAGAACAAGATCCCTGATTCTAAAAGACATAAGCACCCCTATGTTTATTGCTGCACTATTTACAACAGCCAAGATATGGAAGCAACCTCAGTGCCCATCCGTAGATGAATGGATAAAGAAGATGTGGTGCATATACACAGTGAAATATTATTTGGCCATAAAGAGAAAACAAATCCTACCATTTGCTACAACATAGATGGAGCTAGAGGGTATTATGCTCAGTGAAAATAAGCCAGGTGGAGAAAGATAAGTACCAAATGATTTCCCTCATTTGTGGAGTACAACAGCAAAGCAAAACTGAAAGAATGAAACAGCAGCAGACTTAAATTCCAAGAAGGGACTAGTGGTTACCAAAGGGAAGGGATTGGGGAGGATGAGTGGTAGGGAGGGAGAGGGGATTAGGGGCATCATAGTTAGCACTCACAATATAGGTAGGTCCCAGGGAAGGCAGTATAGCATGGAGAAGACAGTAATAACTCTATAACATCTTACTACACTTATGGACAGTGACTACAGTGGAGTGGGGGAGGGCAGACTTGATAATATGGGTGAATGTTGAAACCACAATGTTGTTCATGTGAAACCTTTATAAGATTGTGTTTCAGTGATACCTTAATTAAATAAATAAATGCATTGGAAAAGCATAGATAGTTCAGAAATAAATACAAGAATTTGTTATATAACAATTATGGTAGAGGAGAAAAACAATACTTTGTTGAAAAACTGTTCTGAGATCATTGGCTTCCCAATTAGAAAAAAAGAAATTTTGATTCCTACTTCATTCCACATATAAAAATAAATTCCAAGTGGATTAGAATTACAAATATAAAAAAGAAAACCATAAAAATACTAAAGAAATAGAGTCAAGTATTATTTTCAGGAGGAGCAAGGCAGTTATAATCATGACACAAAATCCAGAAACTAGAAAAAAATCAACAGAATAAATGCTTGGAAACATGAGCATAATTTTTAATGGCTCCGTTGTATTTCATTCAACAAATGGGCCACAATTTATCATTATCCACATGCTGCTGGAATTCTGTACAGTTTCCAGCATACTGTAATTATAAATAATACTTTAATGAACATGTCTGTTGTACACTAGGATTATCTTGAGTGATCTGTATGTACTGAAATTTGTGTTATCCCATTTTTGTTGTAAGTGGGTCATTGGCTTAGGTCTGGAAAACATTGTTACAGAGGCCCTTTTAAAAATAGCCTATTTTATAGAACTAGAGATTTGTACGATTTTTTTTTTACCATGTAGTGTTTTCTTTGTTCTTCATAGCGTGAAGCTTTTGTTGGCAATGTCTAGGATTTTCTGAGTTACTGAGGTTAAAATAAGAATTACTACTCTATATCAGAATTTAGTCCAGTCTCTGGCAACAAGGACTTTTTGTAGGAGTCAAGTTGTCTGCCATAAAATCCACCTGACATGATTAAGGATTTGTTTTTCCCACCAAATTTCTAGTTTATCTTGACTGTAATAATTCTACTCTGGGAATTTTGTTAACCCTTTCCTGAATCTATTTTCTTTTTAATCTGTATATCTCTTGGAACAATCAGCTCCACAGTTAAGGGTAGGCAACACAGGGAACACTGGAAATTTTCTGAGCCTTGTTTCTTTGTGTTTTTGGTGGTGGGGATGGCAGTTGTTGCTTAGGATTTTTTATTTATTCAATACCAGCTTTTACAGAAACTGAACTGGTTGGGAAGAACCAGGAGAGTTAGTAGAAATACAGGTATTGCCCAAAAAGAGAAATGGACCTGTGAGGAAGGAGAGAAAATTTTCTAAAAATGTGAGATGTATATTTTTGTTTTGTTTTGTTTTGTTTTATTAAGGCAAAGAAATAAAACACTTGCTTTCAGAAATCTTGCTTTCAGATTAACATTTGAAAGGAATCCAGGTGAACATTCTTGTTTGCTTCAGCTACTCAGGGTCATGTCCTGCTGCAGCTAAATTGCCTTGAAAAGCCTACCATTCTGAAGCCTTCTGGGTGTGCCTCTCGCTTTGAAAGATGAAAATCAGTAGACAACTGTGGCAAAAACAGTTGTAACAACTGCACCGTCAGGCTTTCAGCAGTCACTCAAGAACTCAGCCTTCCAATAGCCCATTACATGAGGCGTTTAAAAATATGGCTTCTTGTAAAGTCAGTGATCCAATTCATCCATTATAATTAACATTTTTTCTAAGTAGAGTCTTCATATGTTCTAATGAAATGCTGCATAACAATGACATCTTGTCTTAAGTCATATTGTAAAAAAACTTCCCAACTGCTTATAAACTGTCTCTAGGAAAAGCTGAGGGAAGGCCTCCTTCGTGAATTTCAATCTTTTTATGAAGTCTAGTAGGATTAAGGTAAAAGTGATTTCTAGGTTCCATCTTAGATAATAAAATCAAACAAAGCAAAGGTGGCCATACTCACTCATTGGGGGTGCCCTTCTGGCCACAAAAGTGGCCTGTGCTGTCTGTAGGATAGGCTACTCTCCTGGGGTCACCGTGTACCCAAGCTGCAGGAACAAGAAAGGATAAACATTCTATTAGCCACAGCTGGCTAAAGGCAATCTGATTTGAGAAATTAGAATGCACCTCTGCAACCCACCAACCTCTCCCCTCAGCCACAGAGGATTATTGATTTTTTTCAGAGAGTAATTTCTTAATGAAAAGTAAAATAAAATATGGATGAATCAGTCAGAAAGCACATTTCTTTTAATCTCTCAGGATTCATCTGGGTTGTAGCCAAAACCTGAGGTAATGCACTTAGAAAATGACATTTAATAAAATGTGAATTAGAGGGCACACTGCAAATGCCTGGCTGGCTAGAAGTCACTGTTTCTGGTGCTTAAGACTAAATGACTTCACAGTAGAGCTAATAAACTTACAGTAAATGTGATGATGTAATTCTTTTGGATTACACATAAGTGAAAATCATTAAAAAATTCAAAGGGATGAAACTGTAATGTTCAATTCAAATTGACTAGCTCTTTATGATTTCATGTGACACTATAAAGGCAAACATTGTCAACTTCAGAGGCAATACATAAAAAAGGCAATACAAAAAATACATTTTGTCTGGCATCTCAATGCTTACTATAGTAAGTATCAAGTATTCTCAAAATTCCTGAAAACTGAAGACTTCATTCTGTCTTCTGTGTAGACACTGGGCTGTACCTCATACTCATCACACTTATTTTCCAAGAATTATAAACTTGGCTTAACAGCTAGACAATAGAAAGCCAGAAAGTAACGGGCATTAGTTAAATTGGGTAATACTCCCTAATCCTAACTGAATGTATCTAACTTCTCAAATCTGATTAATATAGTTCCTAAAAATCTAGGAACCGCACTAGTCATCTAACGCATGCCATGCTTGCCTCTGCATAAGGAAAACACGTCTCTGTCCTTTGCTTCCTTTAACATTTGCATAGCTATCTCCTTACCCACATTTATTGGATTTGACAGTTCATGTTATAACTGAATCACCCTTATGTACATGGCCTGTGTGACTTGGGAAGATAAAAAAAATCAATTCTGAAGGAGAATTTTAATATGCAAGAGAAATTTTCCTCAATATTTTTTCTCATCCATCCAAGTCTTTCCTTTTAGTATCTACGCACCCAGAAAAGTCTCCTTTGTCTAATTCTTTCTTCAATGTCATAGAGGCCAAATTGGTTTAATCTTCTAATACTTTCTTATGAAATCTGACTCATTTGAGCAGCTCTCTGCTGCCATATCTTCCCATCTTCATTTCCCAGAATAAAAAAGTGGACTATAAATAAGGCATTTAAATGACATCTAAGCAGGCAATGTACAATGTCTCCAGACACTATTTTATTATATTCTGTTTTTATATCTTAGTTTGTCACATTTTGGCTAAAACTAAGAAAGAGATATAATCTTACCTGACTTTATTTTGTGTAATTTATTCTTTAAACTTTACCCGGAAATGCATTATTCCTTTTCTATACAATTATTAATTCAGAAGTGGCACTTTGAATTGCTAGGTTTGCTATTTAATGTAGTTGTAACTCTGAACAAGTCACTTAATTGTTTTAGTCTTGGCTTTCTAATTTGTTACTGTTAAATGGGTATAATAATACCCAGCCCCATTAACATGTTAAGAATATGAAAGAAGATCAAAGTTGGATGCCTAAGAAGTTGCGTGATATACCAATGGACTCAGTAGTTCCTGCCTTATTTGGGTTTCCCCAAAACCAAACCCTGAGACAAAGTCTTTGAGGCAGGTAGGCTACTTTGAGAGGGGTTCTAGGAAGCTTAAGGAGGGGTGAGGGAAGTGAGACCGGAAGGGCATGTTAAGGAGCGGGATACTGTTGCCGGCAGGGGGGATGCCAGCCTCCTGGGTACCCTCTGAGGAACCGCGTAGAACAAGGTGGGCAGTGAGCATGGTAAAACTGCCCACCGGCTACAGGGAAGCTCAGAAGGGCTGAAGGGATGTGGGGTGGGGCATCAGCAGCATCTGCTCTGGTTTTCTTTCCCCTTTTAATTAATCCATTGATCAAAGAATTTACTAAATGACCACTGTGTGTCCTGTGCCAGAAATCAACACCAGTATATTTCATGTCAGCGTTCTCAAGAAAGTCATGAAAAGCAGAGAATTCAGTTTGCAGAAGGCTTAGAGAAGAGGCAGCATTGGGAAAGACTGAAAGAATGGTTTGGACAGGGGGCCAGGAACTACAGATTGAAGAACTAATGAGATCGGGTATCTAATATAATAACAGAAGCTTCAATTTATTAAATTCTTACCATGTGTCAAGTACTATTCTAAATGTATTACACCCATTGTCTTATTTGCATCTCGCAATAACTATGAGGTTGGTATTATTTCACCTAAATTTTATAGATAACTGCAGTTCAGTTTTATTTACTTCTCAAGATCACACAGACTCTGGTGCAGAAGTTGCACAGCAGATGGTCTGTGTTTGAGCTGGAATGTCACGTCTTTGACCTGAAAGCTGCAAGGGCCAGTTCAACCAAGTCATCTCAGGTAAGGTTTTCTAGTTTTCTTTATCTTCTCTGTCAAATCCACATCTCACCACACCTCCACTGGATCAAAAAACAAGGAGGGAAAGGAGATGCGCAGCAGCAGCCATTTTGTCCATCAATAAAGGAAGGGACTTCTCACATTTTACTCCTTTTCTTGGAGTTTCTCTATTCATAGAACTTCTAGAACTATGCTGTCCAGTATGGTAGCCTCCTGCCACATATGTCTACTGAGCACTTAAACATGGCTTATGTGAACTGAGACATGCTGTAAGTACAAAATATACACCAGATTTTAAAGACCGTATGAACAAGACAAGAATGTAAATTGCTCATTGATAATTTTATACTGAGTATATTTGAAATAATATTCAATTATAGTTAAATAAAACATTATTAAAATTAATTTCACCTGTTTCTTTTTATTCTCTTAAATATGTCTACTAGAAAATTTAATGGTACATATGTGAGTCACATCATATTTCTCATGGACAGATCTGTTCTAGAATATTTCCCTGCAAATATTAAGGGCTTCTCATATAAGGTGATTAGTGCTGCCACACCACAGATTTGTATGTCAGTCCTTCTCCAACACCATTTTACCCAGCACATTCTTTTTATAATAAATATCTTACAATGCTCCTTTTATAATCCTGAAATAGTATTCACAGATAACATAACTCACCCATATATATAATTTCTTTTAAAAAATCAATAACATGCCCTAACTGTAATATAAATTGGAAATAAGGAAGTAACTTATAATTAAATAATATGTACATCAATATGCAATGCTAGAATGTAACTAAACTAGAAGACAGTGAAATAAGTCAGCTGCTTGCACCTATAGACTCACTGAATGTAATGACTATAAATGCAGGAAGATACAGATGTATTGTGTAGAAGACTCAAATAATACAAGTGGTGAGGTCAATGATATGATTTTCCTAAATGAACAAATTTTAGTAAACTCACAACTCACAACAAAGTATAATCTTTCTTCAAATTCCTTTGGTATTTATGGAATCCATGAAAAAAATAACATTTGTAATTTTAAAACAGAAGCTCTAGATTCAAATATTTAAAAACAAATTGTCATCTACAGGAGTGGGATGTGGAAAAGTCAGTCAGAAATTGGGGCAATTCTTGGTTGTGCAGAATTGTCACAGATATTTCAAGATATCTACCTTCCCTGGCTCCCACCCACTAAACACCAATAGTACCCTCCCCAAACATTGTGACAATCAAAAAGTTAACTCAAATTTTCTGGAAAGTACCCACAAACCTCCACCCGAGGCAGTGGTACTGCTTCATCTGAGAGATATTGGCTTAGATGTTTATTCATGCTTTTAAAAATATCAAAAAAAAGAATATAGAGAGATTCACAGTGTCTTTTTATTCCAGATTTTTTGGGAGGATATGTTATCATGGATTTCTTTCATATATTAATCACATTTACTTTTATTCAGCTGATCATCCTCTAAGGTAATTTACAGATATGTCCATAGATTATCTGATATTTTTCCTTTGAAAGGTAGTGCTCAACTCCCCATCTTTTGAGTGTGCACTAGACTTAGTGACTTGCTTCTAATGAATAAATGTGGCAGAAATGACATTGGGTTACTTCCAACAGTGGTCATAAAAGGCATTGCAGCTCCTTCTCTTTTAGATCACTAGTTGTAGGGGAAACCTCTGACTTGATAGACTCAGACAGTCCTAAAAGAAAGCCCATGTGATAGTGAGCAGTGGTGAGAACTGAAGCTTCCTCCTAACATCCACATACGTGTGCCATTTGAAAGCTGATCCTCCACAGTCAAGCCTTCAGCTGACTGCAGTCTTGGCTTACATCTTGAATGCAACCTCATGAAAACTTGGAGGCTGAGCCACCCAGCTAAAATGTTCCCAATTCCTGATCACAGAAACTGTGAGATAAGAAACATACATTACTTTACAGTGTCAAATTTGGGAGTAATTTACTATGCAGCAATGGATAATGAATCACTATATAGCTTTTAGAAATCTTTATATACTGAAGGAAGCAGTTAAATAATCTTTCTTTAATCTGCATATTCATATCTCAATCCTCTTTTCTATTTGATTTATGTTTTAAACCCATAGCTACAATCGTTAAGATTTTAATAATTTTTGTTCTTTACTATTTGGTTTAATACATGAAGTCCTTAACTTGATTTAAAGAATTTATAAGGGTCTAGACAATTATATAGTATCTGGTATCAACTTATCTTAATTCTTAAAAAGAATGTTAACATGAAAAATTTTACCTTAAAGTGCCAGTCTAGAATATGGTCAAACTCCCATTCACTCATTCGTACATACTGAATTGTCAATCATCATATTCCTATTCATTTACCTATTCATTCATGGTCCTTACCCATGATAGGTATATAAAGACTCTGAAGATATAGAGATGAACACATTCATATTTAGTGTAATACTATTTCATAATTATATATAACTATTTCATAATCCTCCCTAAGGAAACCATATA